ATTCTTCTTGTAAGTACGCAATTGTTTTTGTTATATTATGGTCCATTCTTAGGCTAGGCTAGGGCACAGGCTAGGCAGTTTACTTTTTAGGAAACCTGGGTTGTGCAGCTGCTCAACTTTCTGATCACCTGGAATATCCTACTAACTGGAACCCCCCCCCCCCCCCCCCCCGCCGGGGGGGGGGGGGAACGCAGGTTAGGGAGGGGAAAGCAGGTGAATTGATCCCCGTCGGAGACAGGTCTGGACCCACTGGGCATTGTCGTCCAACAACCCAAAAATGGGAAAAAATAATTTAACGCCTATCCAAATTCCAAATATGCTATTTTGATTGCCAACCCCTATTGTTGTGGCGGTGCCTATGGTAGAGGTGGTGCTTTGCATTAACAAAGCTATTCTAAAGATAGGCCCAATTCCCCTATGTGATGGGAATACCTATTAGCCTAATGTCATACAGATAATAATCATCTTTTTTGTGTTTACAACAGTTTTTTCAACACTTGAAATCTGAGACTACTGTTCATTAGGGCAGGTAGAAAAATAAATGTTAGATTATCACTCCCTTAGGAAATATTTATGCTGGAATTTTAGTTTTCATTTATTTTAAGTCCTAAAAAACACTGCAAATTTGTGACTGGAAATACCTACATTTTTTTTTTTTAAATAATCAAATTAAACCATTTTTTATACAATGATCTAAAATATCTTGCCAAATAAAAACAGTCCCTCACTCATTGATTAAAATATATATATATTTAAAAAAAGCAATATTCTGTTGTTCCAAAAAAAAAAAAAAAAAAAAAAAAAAAAAAAACTTCCCATCCTCACCAATTAAAAAAAAAAAAGAGTAATAATCTAATAACGTTTTTGTGTGCACCTTATATGAGATCGGAGCCACCATGGCATTGAAGCTCATTTTCACAATGTTTTAAATGGGTAATCTGTCTGAAGAACACTATTTAAAAATAAGCAAAAACATTGCTAGGAATTATTTCAACAAACTCTTTATGGGTGTTGGTATATTGCATGATTTCGTCACATAATGGAAATACCAAATGCTATAGAAAGTTTGCAATTGGTATGGGTCAGTAACTAACAAATAATGAACGACAACAATTGAACACAAAGGAAGCACAACCTAAAATAAGTGAAGCATAATTGAAACATATTTGTCAAAGCATGGAGGAAATATATTATTTTTTTATATATATTTCCTTCACGGTGAAAGTATGCTAATGATATAGTATCTCTGTGATAATAAAAGCATGTAAACAATATAGTTACAGTATATAAATGACTACTTTCAAAGCTAGAATCCTATAAAGTTTTAGTGTTGGTGGTCATGGAGCAGTAATGTGTAATCCATATTAATAATAATGATAATTTTCTTTTATTTGCATTTGGTTATTTTTTGTATTGAAATAATTTCTTTTTATACGAAATCTGAGACTACTGTAAACTGTCGTTGATTGTATAAGATAGGAGTTATAAACCATAAACATAAGTGAAATGACCTCCTTTAACCTTCTAAGGGCCTTATGGGTAATTTTTTGACTTAATAAACTAAAGCAAAAACAAGATCTACATTATTGCCTTACAGTTTATGGGTGGTGGCATTTTGCATATGATTTTGTCATATATTGATATGCAAATACCAAATACTGTACTACCTAAAGATTACAGTTGGTACGGGTCAGTAACTAACAAATAATAATGACAACAATTGCACACAAAAGCAGCACAACCTAAAGTCAGTGAAGCTTTTTTATGAAGTGTATTCATAAATTATAAATTTCGTCTATAAAGTATGCTGATCTCCCAATGATAAGAAATGTTCAACAATTGAACAAAGTTTAAAAAAAAATGAAAAACGACAAGCTTGGCACTTAAAAAGGAGGAAATAGGTTGTTATTTTCCAATATATAACACAGATCAAGTCAAATACATTCTTACAATAAATTAATTAGTATTGAATGCAAAAGGTAGTAGAGAGACCAGTTTATAACATTATGGAAGATACTATTCACACTGTACTGTGTGAAATAACGTCTTATTCCTACTGTGCAAGTAATTTGTCGTTATTTTTTTTATTATTTCACAGTAATTTTGCATTTAACATAGCTCCGTGTAGTTTGAAAAGTTTGATGGTTTTTGATGCAAGAAAATGGGACAACATTGCTTCAAGCTTTGTGTCTACTCTAAGTGTGTGGTTGATTGGGTTGTTTTGGTTGGAAAAGAGAAATTACCTCAGTGAATTTCTCAAACAGGATAACGAAAGCTCTCTAATGACTCAAGCTACTGCATGACCATTTTTATTAATAAAACCAATTTCTTCTAATTTTAAATACATTTTGCCCTGAATTTGTGATAATTCGTTATCACGCAAGTGCTAAATGCGTGACACATTTATGATCTGGCATGTGTTTCTGCAAAATGCGTTCCATCAAAAATCACTTTGAAACGCTGGACTGTCCCGCACGATGCGTGACGGTTGGTAACTATGGCATAGATAACTGCCGGGCCCTAGGTAAAATTGGTAAAAATGAAAATGATCGGACATAGAGACAGAGCCTTTAGTGGGGTCTACTCAGGCGAAACTCT